GCTGGGCATGGTGGCGCGTGCCTGTGGTCCCAGCTACTCAGGAGGCTGAGGCAGGAGAATTGCCTGAACCCAGGAGGCGGAGGTTGCGGTGAGCCGAGATCGCGCCATTGCCCTCCAGCCTGGGCAACAAGAGCGAAACTCCGTCTCAAAAAAAAAAAATTAGCCAGAAGTGGTGGCACACACTTGTAATCCCAGCTGCTCAGGAGGCTGAGGAACGAGAATCGCTTGAACCCAGGAGGCAGAGGTTGCAGTGAGCCAAGATCGTACCGCTGCACTTCAGCCTAAGTGATGGAATGAGACTTTGTCTCAAAAAAAAAACTAAGGTAGAATAAAATAAAACAATTTAATATACATGTCTACCTTAATATATAGTAATTTATTGACATCAAACTGTATTCCTGATACACTATTAAGAGAATAAAGCATGTAGTTAGAATATTAACAAATTCCAATAAAAGTAAACATACATATTTTGAGACCAAATTCTAGAAAGAGAAATAGAAAATGTTAATCACAGTCATTTTGGAGACTAGGAAAATATATATTATATTTTTATATAAATTATATAAATATAAATTATATAAATATAAATTATATAAAAATATATTATATATCTATAATGTATATACTAATATATATTTTTTATAATTTTTGTATATTTTCTTTTCTCTGCACAAAAATATGTACTGTATATACAATCAAAGTTACCATTTTGAAAAGAAAAACAAAACCTAGAACCAAAATTGCACATACAGTGAGTATCATTTCAATTATGTCATTCAAACAAAAACAATGGAAGGAAAAAAAAGATTAAAAAAAAATGAAAGAGGATATTCAAGTGGGTGCTCTTAGGTTATGGCATTGTGACTGAGTGCTGTTCTGCTTCTTTGTACTTTTCTGAACTTAGTGATAACATATTACTTTTGTATGTAGAAAATAAAAATGAAATTATTAAGCATTAAAAATCTCTGGAAGGAAATACAGAAAAACATTAACAGTGTTGAATTTGGGTGGTGGAACTTAACATTTCACACATTAATTTTTTCATACGTCTGATGCCACTTTCGTAGGTGGATTAATAAGCTGCTTTTAAGCAGCTTCACAGGTAAAATAAAATCTCCACTACAGAACTGCTGAAAAGGTCAGGCAAGTGCTCACTTTGGACGGACATACACTGAAATCGGAATGATACAGAGAAGACTAGCATGTAAAAATAAAAAAGAAAATAAAAAACAACAAAAATAAAACAAATGAAAAGAAGAAAAGAAGTTAGGCAAGACTCCCAAGAAAAGGCTCCTAGCGCAGTGCCTGGACACAAGAGGTGCTGCAGAAATCGGAGTGCCTTTCCTCTTCTGCAGTGGGAAGGCTGAATGCTCCATCTGTTTGTACTAGAGTGAGAATTATGGTTAAGTGTTAAGACTTTCTCAAAGGTGAAAAGATCAACAAGTAGAAAAACTGCAAGCTTCTTATACAACACGTTATAGTCCACTGATTAAATACTACTGTTTCCAGTGATCTGAGGTAGGTCTCATCACAAAAGTGTGAACAAATTAGGCTCTGAGGCAGGAATTTTCAAAGCCAAGACCCATTAGTGCGTCATGAAATCAGTTAAGCAAGCCACAAACATCAATTTTTTAAAAACCAAAACAGAACAAAATAAAAAATATCAAAGTATACCATACTTAGTGTTTTTTTTCAGTACCTTTCTATGTGTGATGGGTTGTGATTGTGTGTGTGTGTGTGTTTTACCAATGAGCCACGTTCCTAAAAGTTTGAAAGATACGGTTCTGAAGTATTGTATTTATACAAGTACAAAAAAAGGACAGAATGCAGTGTCTCTAAGGCCCCCTCAGATAATAAAGCCAACAAATGGCTGTCTCCAGTTTCTAAGGCGCTCAAAGAATGTGAGGAACCATGGTCTTTTTTTTTTTTTTTTTGAGACAGGGTCTTGCTCTGTCACCCAAGTGGCGTGATCACAGCCTCCACCTCCCAGGCTCAAGCAATCCTCCCACCTCATCCTTTTGAGCGACTGGGACTATAAGCATGTGCTACCCATGCCTAGCTAATTTTTAAATATTTTATAGATTCAGGGTCCCACAGTGTTGCCCAGGCCAGTCTCAAACTCCTGTGCTCAAGTGCTCCTCCTGACTCAGCCTCCCAAAGTGTTAGGATTACAGCCATGAGCCACTGCACCCAGTGAAGGACCATGGACCTTTTTTTTTTTTTTTTTTGAGACAGAGTCTTGCTCTGTTGCCCAGGTTGGAGTGCAGTGGTAACCTTGGCTCACTGCAACCTCCGTCTTCCAGGTTTAAGTGATTCTCCTGCCTCAGCCTCCCAAGTAGTTGGGATTACAGGTACATGCCAAAACACACAGTTAAATTTTGTATTTTTAGAAGAGGCTTTTGCCATATTGGCCAGGTTGGTCTTGAACTCCTGACCTCAAGTGACCCGCCTGCCTCAGCCTCCCAAAGTGCTGGGATTATAGGAGTGAGCTACTGCGCCCAGCCACATGGTCATTTTAAACACGAGGCCCAGAGATGAAGCAGCTTCTACAAGGGCTTCTGGCTGGTGCACACAGATGCCCTCTCTGCTCTGATGCATATGCTGTGGAGTCTTCCAGTATCATTTTACCCAACCTGTTCACAGGTTTCCTGAATCAAGGGACTACTATGGCAAGAATAGGCTGGGAGCTGCAAGGGCTAGAAAACTAGACAAGATTCACCACTGGGGCTGCCATGTACTCACTCCATAATCAGGACCCCCGAGCTCCTTTATCCGGACCTCCCAGTGTCCTTTCTCCCGCAGCAACTTGTTAATTTCATCATTCAGGTCACGAATTCGAAATTCACCTAAACCAGCTAGAAAACAAAAAGGTTAACAGTATCATTCTATAAAAATGAATGTCAACACCTCCAACACATACACTCAGTATCATACCCTTAAAATAAATGTCAACACCTACAAAGGTATACTACATAAAAATCCTCATCTAAATTGATAAGAAAAACCACCCAAATAAATAAAAGGACAAGAATTATAAAGAGTTCCCCCTAGCGTAACAAGAAAAAAAAAAATCCTTGAAGGCCGGGCGTGGTGGCTCACGCCTGTAATCCAAGCACTTTGGAGGCCAAGGCGGGCAGATCACCTGAGATCAGGAGTTCAAGACCAGCCTGACCAACATGGTGAAACCCCGTCTATAAAAAAAAAAAAAAAAAAAAAAATCCTTGAAAACAACTTCATCCTCATTAGCAATTAAAAAATATAAACAACTCTGAAATGACCCGGCAGTTACATTTATACAACTACTAAAATAATAAGCTCCTAAGAGGGAGGGAAGACAGCATCCAAGGTCAGCAAAGACACAATGAGGCTGAGATAGGCACCCAGGGCTGGCAGCATTCCATGATGATTTAGCCTTTTTAGGAAAACAATGTATTGCTATATGGGAAAATTTTTTAGCAAGGACTACAGGCCTGAGAATTACGCCTAAGGGACTAATTGAAAGAGATGTGCACAAATTTCGCTGTGGTGGAACTGCGGCATCACACCACAGAGGAGGGAAAATGGTTAACAAACCTTAATACATTGAAATCAAACATCACATGGCTGTTGGAAGGGACAATTTGCACACAGTGGAGATACAGCAAGGCCTTTATGAAGTAATGTTGGATGTGCCCAGCAAGGAGGGAAAAAAATTAAAAAAAATAAAAAATAAAAAAAGAAGTAACGTTAGATGACAACAGCAAGTCCAGAAGGGCTCTTACATCTGGATTACAGCTAAGACTGATGCTCTAGCAGATGGGCATGACAGTACCTCTAGGGCTGACGGATATTGCTTGTGGAGGTGGTGGCTTACTTGAGTATGCAAATCTGCTGCAACTCATCCAACTCTACATTAAAAATGGGTGAATTTTATTGTATGTAATTCTTGCCTGGATAAAGTCCATTAAAAAAAAACGTCAAACAGGCCAGGTATGGTGCTTCACGCCTGTAATCCCAGCACTTTGGGAAGCCAAGGTGGGCAGATCACTTAAGCTCAGGAGTTCAAGACCAGCCTGGGCAACATGGTGAAATCCCATCTCCACCAAAAATATTTAAAATTAACTGGGTGTGGTGGCCCATGCCTGTGGTTCCAGCTATTTGAGAGGCTTAGGTGAGAGATGCACTTGAGCCCTGGAGGCAGAGGCTGCAGTGAGCTGCGATTGCACCACTGTACTCCAGCCTGGGTGAAAGAGTGAGAACTCCACTCAAAAAAAAAAAAAAAAAAAACCAAAAAAAAAAAAAAAAAAAAAAAAGTCAAGTAAAAAGAATACATTGTAACTGGGTGCAGTGGCTCATGCCTGTAATCCCAGCATTTTGGGAGGCTGAAGAGGGCAGATCACTTGAGATCAGGAGTTCAGGACCAGCCTTGGCTAACATGGGGAGACCCCGTCTCTACTAAAAATACAAAAATTAGCTAGGAGTGGTGGCGCACACTTGTAATTCCAGCTACTTGGGAAGTTGAGGCAGAATCGCTTGATCCCAGGAAGCAGAGGTTGCAATGAGCCGAGCCTGGGCAACAGAGCAAGATTCTGTCTCAAAAAAAAAAAAAAAAAAAAAAAAAAAAAAAAAAAAAACAAAATTAAAAAAAAAAAAAAAAAAAAAAAAAAAAATACATTTTACAACCTCCCACTCCCATGTTCTGTTCTGTTAAGAGAGAAAAAGACAGCAAGACAACCAAGCCCAGTGGCTGCTGCCTGTAATCCCAGCACTTTGGGAGGCCAAAGCAGGCAGATCATGAGGTCAGGAGTTTGAGACCAGCCTGGCCAATACGGTGAAACCCCATCTCTACTAAAAATACAAAAATTAGCCAGGCATGGTGGCACGCGCCTGTAGTCCCAGCTACTCCAGGGGCTGAGGCAGGAGAATCGCTTGAGCCCAGGAGGCGGAAGTTGCAGTGAGCTGAGATCACATCATTGCACTCCAGCCTGGGTGACAGAGGGAGACTCCGTCTCAAAAAAAAAAAAAAAAAAAAAAAAAAAAAAAAAAAAAAAAAAAAAAAAAAGAAAAAAAAAAAAAAAAAAAAAAAAAAAAAAAAAACAGAAAAAGGAAAAAGACTTGCCACTACCACCATGGTGAGACTTTCCAGTGCTAAAGACACAGAGAACTCAAGGCAGTCAACCCTCTGAGGGCCTCAACCAAAGCAAAGTGAGGGCTTCTGGAATCCTCTCCCAAAGCAAAGCCAAGGCATCTTAAAGAAAACAAGAATCACACGTTTTATTATTTTCTATTGACTTGTCAAAAATCTACATATAAAAACATTACTTTTTGGTACCTAATTATATGAGTTTTCACAAATGCATATAATTATGTAATCATCACATAATTAAGACACAGAAAGTTCCATCACCCCAAAACATTTCCTTATGCTCAACTATAGTCACCCCCTCCCCCTACCCAACTCTTGGCCACCAGTAAACACACTATATTGTGTTCCTATAATTTTGCTTTTCCAGATCATATAAATGGGATCATAAAATGTGTAGCATTTTGAGTTTCGTTTCTTTCCCTCAGCACTAAGCTCAAAGCATGCTTTTGAGACTCCATATGTTTTAATTTTATTTATTTACATTATTATTATTATTTACAGAGATGAGGCCTTACTATGTTGCCCAGGCTAGTATCCAACTCCTAGGCTCAAAGCGATCCTCCCAACTTGGTCTCCCAAAGTGCTGGGGATTATAGGGATGAGCCACAGTGCCTAGCCTATATGTTTGTTATTATTACGTATTATTTTATTATATAGACCTCAGTTTGTTTAACGATTCGCGAAAAGGACCTTTGGGTTGCTTCCAGTTTTTAGCTACTATAAACATTATGTATGAGTTGTTGTGTAACAGAAAAGGATTACATTTCTCTTGGACAAATACCTAGGAATGGAAATGCTGGATCATAGGTTAAATGTATGTTTAACTTTACCAAACCCCATTCTAAAGTGGCTGCTCCATTTTCCCTTCTTATCAGCAGTGCATGAGAGTTCGTTACTTCACATATTTGCCAGCACTTGGCATTGTCACTATTTGTTTAAGTCATTCTAAAAGGTGTGTAGTATCCCACTGTTGTTTTAATCTGCATTTCCTTTATGACTATTATGTTAAACACATGAAAAGATGCTCATCTGCCTCTACATATATATATACTTTTTGAGACAGAGTCTTGTTCTGTTGCTTAGGCTGAAGTGTAGTGGCACAATCTCAGCTCACTGCAACCTCTGCGTCCTGAGTTCAAGCTATCCTCATGCCTCAGCCTCCCAAGCAGTTGGGATTACAGGCATGAGCCACCACAACTAGCTAATTTTTGTATTTTTAGTAGAGACAGGGTTTTACCATGTTGGCCAGGCTGGTCTCCAACTCCTGGCATCAAGTGATCCACCTGCCTCGACCTCCCAAAGTGCTGGGATTACAGGCATGAGCCACCGCGCCCAGTCTACATATTTTCTTTGGTAAAGTATCTGTTCAAAATTTTGCCCACTTCTTAAAACAAATTATATTTTCTTATTGATGAATTTTTAAGAGTTCTTTGTCTCTCTTCTCTACTGAATTGTCTTCATACCTTTGTCAAAAGTAAACTGACCAGGCCAGGCACAGTGGCTCCTGCCTGTAATCTCAACACTTTGGGAGACACAGATGGGAAGATTGCTTGAGCCCAGCCTGGGCAACACAGCAAGAGCCCATCTTTACAAAAAATTTTAAAATTAGCCACGCAGGGCAAGGCATGGCGGCTCACACCTGTTATCCCAGCATTTTGGGAGGCCAAAGCGGGTGGATCACTTGAGGTCGGGAGTTGGAGACTGGCCTGACCAACACGGAGAAACCCTGTCTCCAGTAAAAATACAAAAAATTAGCCAAGTGTGGTGGCACATGCCTGTAATCCCAGTTACTCTGGAGGCTGAGGCAGGAGAATTGCTTGATACCAGGCAGCAGGTTGTGGTGAGCCGAGATTGTGCCACTGCACTCAAGCCTGGGCAATAAGAATGAAACTCTGTCTCAAAAAAAAAAAATTTTGCCAGGCATGCCGGGCACAGGGGCTCACACCTGTAATCCAAGCACTTTGGGAGGCTGAGGCAGGCACATCACTAGGTCAGGAGCTGGGGGCCAGCCTGACCAACATGGTGAAACCCTGTCTCTACAAAAATACAAAAATTAGCTGGGCATGGTGGCATGTGCCTGTAATCCTAGCTACTCAGGAGGCAAGACTCTGTCTGAAAAAAAAAAAAAACATACATATATATATATAAAATTTTGTATATTGAACTTTTTTTCTGTGACTTTGATAAATTCACTTATCCATTTTAGAAGTCTTTCTGTAGGTTCCTCGTGATTTTCAACATAAAAAATTATGCAGGATTTTCAGCTAGGCATGGTGGTTCACGCCTGTAATCCCAGTACTTTGGGAGGCAGAGGCGAGAGTATCACCTGAGGTAGGGAGTTCAAGACCAGCCTGGCCAACATGACAAAACTCCGTCTCTACTAGAAATACAAAAATTAGCCAAGTATGCTAGAGCATGCCTGTGGCCCCAGCTACTCAGAAGGCTGAGGCAAGAGAATCACCAGAACCCAGGGGGCAGAGGTTACAGTGAGCCAAGATCATGCCACTGCACTCAAGCCTGGGTGACAGAGCAAGACTCCATCTCAAAAAAAAAAAAAAAAAAAAAAAAAAAAAAAAAAAAAAAAAAAAAAAAAAAAAAAAAAAAAAAAAGAAAAAAAAGAAAATTATGAGGGATTTTCTACATTACAATAAAGAGAGTTTTATTTGTTACTTTCTAATCTGTATGCCTTTTATTTCCTTACTTTACTGCACTGGCTAGGATTTCTAGCATCATGCTGAATATGAGTGGTAAGAACTGGTGTCTTTGCCTTGTTCCAGATCTTAGGAGGAAAGCATTCAATCCTTCACCACTAAACAGTTTATTGGCTGTGGGTTTCTTGTTAGAAGTGCTTTATCAGGGCTGGGCATGGTGGCTCACGCCTGTAATCCCAGCACTGTGGGAGGCCACAGCAGGTGCATCATCTGAGGTTGAGGGCTTGAGACCAGTCTGACCAACATGGTGAAAACCGTCTCTACTTAAAATACAAAAATTAGCAAGGTGTGGTGGTTGGCACTTGTAATCCCAGCTACTCAGGAGGCTGAGGCAGGAAAATGGCTTGAACCAGGGAAGCAGAGGTTGCACGGAGCCAAGATCACGCCATTGCACTCCAGTGTGGGCAACAAGAACAAAACTCCATCTCAATAAAAAAAATAAAAAATAAAAAAAAGTGACCAGGCGCAGTGGGTCACCCCTGTAATCCCAGCACTTTGGGAGGCCGAGGCAGGCAGATGACGAGGTCAAGAGATCAAGACCATGGTGAAACCCCATCTCTATAAAAAATAAATAAAAAAGAGTGCTTTATCAGGGTAAAAAGTTCCCTTTCATTCTGTTTGCTGAATTCTTTTTTTCTTTTTTTTAGAGATGGGGTTTCACCATGTTGGTCAGGCTGGTCTCGAACTCCTGACCTCAGGTGATCCGCCCACCTCAGCCGATCCACCCACCTCAGCCAGCCTCCCAAAGTGCTGGGATTACAGGTGTGAGCCACCAGTCCTGGCTTGCTGAATTGTTATCATGAGTAAGCATCAAATTTTGTCAAATGCTTTTTCTGCATCTACTTAGATCATCATACAGTTTTTTTTCTTTAGAATGACATAATGAATTAACTTATATTTGAATGCTAATCAACTACGGTTTAGAAATCCTACTTAGTTGTGACGTGTTATCCTTTTTACATATTGCTAGGTTTGATTTGCTAATATTTTATTAAAGATTTCTGTCTATATTCATAGGAAATATTGGTCTGTAGTTATTTCTCATAATATCTTTTTCTGATTTTAGCATCAGAGTAATGCTGATACTAAAAGTCATAAAATCAGTTAAAAAGTGTTCCCTTGGCCAGGCACGGTGGCTCACGCCTGTAATCCCAACACTTTGGGAGGCCGAAGCGGGTGGATCACGAGGTCTAGAGATCGAGACCATCCTGGTCAACATGGTGAAACCCCGTCTCAACTAAAAATACAAAAAATTAGCTGGGCATGGTGGCGCGTGCCTGTAACCCCAGCTACTCAGGAGGCTGAGGCAGGAGAATTGCCTGAACCCAGGAGGCGGAGGTTGCGGTGAGCCGAGATCGCGCCATTGCACTCCAGCCTGGGTAACAAGAGTGAAACTCCGTCTCAAAAAAAAAAAAAAAAAGTGTTCCCTCTTCTTCCATTTTCTTGAGGAAACTAAGCAGAGTTGGTATTATTTCTTCCTTAAATATTTAGTAGAACTGACCAGTGAAGCCATCTGGGCCCAGAATTTTCTTTGTAGGAAGGTTTTTAGAAGTGAATTCAATTTCTTTCTTTTTTTTTTTTTTAAATTGAGATGGAGTCTCACTCTGTCTCCCAGGCTAGAGTGCAGGAGCCCAATCTCGGCTCACTGCAACCTCTGTCTCCTGGGTTAAAGTGATTCTCTTGCCTCAGTCTCCCAAGTAGCTGGGATTACAGGTATGTGTCACTATACCTGGCTAATTTCTGTATTTTTAGTCGACATGGGGTTTCACCGTGTTGGCCAGGCTGGTCTTGAACTCCTTACCTCAAGTGATCCACCCACCTCAGCCTCCCAAAGGGCTAGGATTACAGGCGTGAGCCATGGTGCTCAGCCTCAATTTCTTTAACAGAAACAGGACTACTCAGGTTTACCATTTCTTCTTGAACTTTGTCCCTAAACAGTAGAATTACTGACACTGTGGTTTATTCAGGATAATTATTTGTAGGATGCTTACCACATCCCTGGTCTCTACCCACCATATGCCAGTAGCACCCCTCCAGTTGTGACAATCAAAAATTTCTTCAGACACTGCTAAATGTCATGAGGAGGGTGGCAGAGGGAAGGCCCCTGGTTAACCTGGTTAAGAACCACTTCTCAGCCAAGCACAGTGGCTCATACCTGTAATCCCAGCATTTTGGGAGGCCGAGGTGGGTGGATCACCTGAGGTCAGGAGTTTAAGACCAGCCTGTCCAACATGGTAAAACCCTATCTCTACTAAAAAAATACAAAAATTAGCCAGGCATGATGGAAGTTGCCTGTAATCCCAGCTAGTCTAGAGGCTGAGGCAGGAGAATTGCTTGAACCAGGGAGGTAGAGGTTGCAGTGAGCCAAGATTGTGCCACTTCACTCCAGCCTGGGTGACAGAGCAAGATTGTCTCAAAAAA